TCGAAACTTGCAAATTTAAGTAATTAAGAAAATTAAGTGTTTCATTTTCAACATAATAAATTAAAGTTAAACTAATTATTATACATCACATAAATAATAAAATAGTCTTTCATCTCCTAAATTTAAAATACAACTTAAACTAATATGTCATTTCATACCCCACAATACCCATGTATATATACCTAATTGAATTCCAAAACAACTCCGACGCATATTACACAAACACTTAACACATTTCAAGAAAAAATAACCTAAGTAACAACCTGTGCATCGAACAGACCAAAAGGCTAGTTTAGTTTAAAACACCATAACGGGCCAATTAATACTATACTTCATGGTATTCTATTCATTACCTTTTTCCTTACAAAACTGAACAATAAAAGTGGTGTAGATCTACTTAAAGCATACGGAGTACATTAAACGATAAATATTGTATGAATATTAAAAAAATAAACACTTTTTTTTTTGAGAAAATTTAAAAAAACAACACTTAGAAAAGAGCATGAAGTGTTAAATTCGAATTCGAATATCATTTACAATTTATGACCACTTACCAAACGTATATTGTAGCCTTGTTGGGCGAGTATTTTGAGGAAGTAAGTCCTACCCACGGCTATCTGAAGTGTGGCTGTGAATGTACCTTAAATTTGAAGCACAGCACATCTTCCAAGAGTCGATCTACACTACATATAGCTTCCAGATGCTTTGTTCTTAATATACAAGACAATTTAACCAGCTACATCTATTTATTGTTATGCTATTTTTAAATTAAATCATGGATTCACCTTCTAGTTGACCTACGATATATTCACATTGAAATTTGTGACCAACACAAAAAGTAAGGTACTAACGAACCTCTAGTTTTTAAGCTTATAAGGTTCTGCTGTAACTCTAGGATTTAAGTTATTTATACCAAATGAAATTTACTACTCGTATGGTTTATAAATGGTATATATGATCGTTTATTTTATGTCCGCTGTTAAGTTAATACTCGTATGAAATAATTAATCTCACAAAATAAAAAACTAGAGTAAATTCTTATAATAAATTAGTCATCATGTTCAGAATTATTATTATTATGATGACGTATTTTCAGATTGAATTATGAATATGATGTACTCTATATATATAGCCGCCGTATATATACATGTAAGATATCGAACGAGTACTATGTAGTAGATAATATTAAGACTATTTATGTGATGACTAAATAAAAATCGATGAAAAAATAGAGTGGAAAAGATAATGAGTTAGATGTTTATGAATTGATTTAATCAATATAATCCATATATGGAGTACAATTAATTAAATCGGCCATGTAAATCTAATTTACATTAAAATTATGACCAACTTCAATGTTGCTTATCTCCAATTTATTATGACATAAGTCATAAGTACATTTTTTTTTGAGTTCGTCCCACTCGATTAACCAGAGCTTAGCTCCGACCTCGACAACATCTGGATCCGATCCGACCGGCCTTATGGTGGGTGCGTCTCTCAACAAGAGTATTCTGCATTCGGTGAGGCTCGAACTCGAGACCTCCCTTAAGCGACATCAAGTTGCTTACCACTTGAGCCAACTCTTGTTGGTAACTCATAGATACATACTCTGATTGTAAAAATCACCAAAAGAAGATACAATTATAAAAAAGATTCATGATATATAGATGTAACTAGAGACAACTCTATTTCCAAAAAAAAGAAAAAAAAGTTAAGGAGACAACAAACACTAATTTTGAATTATTTGGCTTTGATGATCTAGCCATATTTGTACGCATGATTGGAAACAATTTGTATTTATCATACTGTATTTCATATGTCGTGTAGTATTGGGGTTTTGTTAGGTCAAGAATATATAATGTGGAGAAAACCACTTCTCCTTATATATAGTTTTCATAGTGATAAAGATAATATAATTGATAATAAAAGATGTTTTGGAAATGAATTTCATTTCATACTGATAGAGACCCTTATTTAGACACTAGTTATGATTAAATGAGTTAACCTTTAGTCTTTAATTAATTATGTTTCTAGCTAATCTAGCTACTTAACTCATTGAATTAAGAGCTTGACATTTTATAACCTTTTTTTAATTAGACAATTTGATTGTGGAGTTGGAGCTATACTCAAGTATGGCCCTGTTCTTCTGAGCTGCTGTACTCTGCTCTGCTCTGCTCTATTGAGTATAAATAAGTTGTTCTGTTCTGCTGACACTTGTTCTGCTCTGTTAAAATCTGCTCCTTTACTTTGCTCAAAAGTTCCAAAATAAAGAACAAGGCATATGACCTCTTTATTATTAATTAGCTAATTGTTTAATTTTATTTTTGAAATTTTGTTAAATTAAACTTTACAATTAGTTAGGTTTTACCGATATGATTGATTATATTGTAGGTGATGCATGATTGAATAGTACTTTATTTTGTATACTCTTGTTTCCAAGAGAGGTTAATGGGAGTAAGAAGAAAGTTAATAAATCTAGAGACTAGAGAGTAAAAGCAGTACTTGTATATTATTACAAGTGAAAATAAAGAATTAAAATTGTAAGAGAAGCGAGTCTATGGTTTTTTCTTTCAAGGAAGGAAGTCGTTGCTTCTTAGTATCAGTGCAGGCATAGTTATTAAAATTCTAATTTAAATCTTAGAATCATAAGATATTAAGATTTATATATGTCCATACGATTCGATTTATGATTCTATCATATTTTACATATTTCTCTTAATTAGTGAAAACCTTACAAGTTTTAAACATGCTTGCAAAGTTATTTATAAATATATGTTGTCGATTATTGGTTGCTTAGTAGGTAAACAACTATTTTCTTTTAATAATTAGGTTTTTAACTTATTATTTTAAACATATTCAATCAAATTTGCATATGATATGACATCTTTATATACATGTTGGTAGAATTTTAATTACAATTTTACGATTCGATTCTAAAAGTCCCTTCCGATTCAAAGTGGAATCTTGATTTTGGTAACTTTGAATACAATATATATATTAAATCATTATGTGATGGTTTTACATAGATTCAAAGGTGGCATCTAAGTCATTCAATTTGGATTATACTTGACTGATCAATTATTTAACTCACTTTAATTTATATCATATTTGACTCTTTAATCAGTATCGTATTATGATTAATCAATCAAAATCAGACAAAAATAACATTTTGTTTAGTTAAGTCAACCGCACCCAAATTAAAATCAAAATTTGACATGTAATTATAAGCATAAATAGAATCTAGCTTAATCAATAGTTTGAAATGGAATAATTAAGTACGAATTACTTTTGATAGGTACGTAAAACTTTCCATTAATCTAATTTGTTAATAAAATTATAGATTGATATGAAACATAACTGAATTTTCTAAGTGAAAAGGGGATCCCCACTTCTTGACATGACTAAACATAAACTTTCCAAATAACATACGATCAAATCACAGTAAATTTGAGCTCAATGTTATGCTAAAAATAGTATTCTTAGTTGTAAGATGGATTGCCTTTTACAATAATGCTACGTAAAATTTATTTCATTGGCTACTTATCACAACCATAATATATACGGAGTACTAATGTTTGTGAACAGTCACCATCACAATGGTAAAACCAAAGGTTTTTTTTTTTTTATAATTTATTTATTTTAATTTTAATTATTATTATTATTATTAATATTCTAATTTTCTAATATTTTTATTATTATCTAGGAAGTTTATGTTTTTTCAAAGGTGACTTGTTGAAATTATATTTTTTTTATTCAAATTTAAATGTAGAACTATCTATCTAACAATGAATAATATTTTTGTTGAGATTAAAACACACTAACAATTAAGAAGATTTAGTTCATATATATGAATAATTTGTTGTCGATTAAAGCCATAAGCAAATTTTAGGATATGATCTAGTTCTTATTTTAAATAATTTAAATAATAATGCTTCATAATGTAGGAAAATAACCACACGTACAATTAGTATTCCACTTCATTTCATAAACAATATACTCCGTATTAGAATTGAATTAGGTATCACTATTTTTGAATTACTTTATTATTAATCCATAAAATCATCAACACATGAAAAAATATTGTACTTTACCGAGATGTTTGTTTTCCACCTTAAAATCGGCCACAAACTTGAACAAGCTTAAAGAGAAGAGACAATTCTTGATTGTAATTAAACTTTAAGTCTACAATCATTATTAGACATAAATCATTACTCATTACACTGTTTAGTCCCCCTAATGATTTCTTAAAACAAACGAATCGATAACAATAATGATGTGAATTGAAAGAAATGATGAATTGGCTGTTTCATTATGACACCTGCTCTAAAAAGATTTTGGACTTTTCTCCCATTCATATGGAACTTAATAAAGGATCCAACTTCATGCTTTAGGTTAAAGGGACACATCTATTATTTATTTTGGTTATCTCGCGTTGATTTATTGGTTGCAATTTAACATTTGTAATAAGTGTTAAGTGTTAATCAATACAATACATGTTTTTTTCACCAAATTGTCCTATAAAGTATTAAGGTGACGGGAGATACGAGAATCCTATCACATACGGAAGCAATTGGGGAAAACAAAATAATCGAAATTCCAAACAATCAACCTCATAATAGAGAGGAGCATACAACCTTTATCATTGAGCTCTTACTTGATTGTCTACATGCACATGTCTATGAGTGGCGTATACGTAGTCATTATAATATACATTCATCTTTTCTTGCTTCACGGTTATGTAATTAGCGCTCACACACATACAAATCCCTTACATTACACAATGGTAGAATTTTATGAGAGATACATCTCATAAGTAACAACCATCCAAGCAAATGACTAGAGCTAAAGCTAGTTTATACTACACTTGTATGTAACATATCATTTTCGTTAAATCCATAAAGAAAAGGAAGGAAAAAAAGGGGAAAAACATCCACAAAAATTCATAAACCTCATGATCTCATCCACCTATTGTATAGTGGTAAGGAAAGGGGTGAGAGGGACTACACATACACACAACCTTGTTTCATAATAATAGCCAGCAATACTAACCTGTCCAATTTTATTAGTCCTGCCAAAATCATTCATATTTATTATTTACCCGTTTTCTCTAACTCTTCAATTCACGTTATTTTTTTTCTTCTCTAAACCGTCCGGAACCAGCCTAAATATCCAAATCTCGAAAGAATTCCCTTTCTCAACCCCACCATTTTCTTGTTTGTAGCCTTCAACACCACTTCTTTCTTTTTTTTTAATAACTTTAATTTTCATTAAAAAAAAATCACCCAACTTTTTTTTTTTTTTTTTATAATTTTATTTTCTTTCCATCTTTATAGAAATAAATAATTGAAGTTCATTTAACATTATTAGCCCTTCCCTTCCCTAGCTAGTCTTTTCCTATCAATATTTCTCTCTCTTCCTCATCTTCCGGGCTAAATTTCTCCTTTTATTCAGAGAATTTCTGTTATAAATACAATAATAAGGGCAGAAGAATTTTACTGTTGAAGTTATCACAAAGCTAAGTTTTTTCTTCTTCTTCTTACAAACCAAAAAAAAAAGAGAATAACCTAGTTAGCTTGCTTCCTCACTCATTCTTTAGCGAGTTTTTCTCCTTTGCAAGTTGGGCATTTTTTCATTCGATTATTCGATATCCTTCTATCTATACCATCAGGGTTCGTTTCGTTTCGAATCGACAGAAAAAAAAAAAAAAAAAAAAAAGAGAGAGAGAGAGATGTCATCAAGCTGTATGGATCAAGCTGCTGTTGCTCCTCCATCATCTGAGCAACTTTGCTACATACCTTGCAACTATTGCAATATTGTTCTTGCGGTTGTTATTTATTATTACTATAATCTCTTCATTTCTTAGCTATATTTTCACTCATTAATTTTCTTTTATCTAGTCCTTTTTTTTAAAAAAAAAATAAATATTATATTTGAATTAGATTTGGGTTTTTGGAAGATTGTAAATTTTAATTTTATTTTTAAACTGTTGTACGGTATAAATATAGTCAAGTCTCAATCGTTTTATGAGACCATTTTGGTTCTCCCTTCTTTTGATTTCTTCTTCTTTTGCAGTCAAAGAAAAGTCACTCTTTATTTAGAGGTCTTTTCTTCTACCCTAATCACCAAAATATTTACAAATTATAAATATTTTCTTTCGATTTTCAAATGTGCCCTAAAAAACCCGGTTTAAACATTCAAGGATAAGACTGTATACATCTCGACAACTGTAAACTCGATTGTAATTATCATATTGTCATTAGTGTTTTTCAAGGGAGTTTAATTTTATTTTTTCAAAAAAAAAAAAAAGTAATGAATTGTATTTAGTTGAATTGTTAATTTATTTAGTTTTTGTTTTTTTGATGTTGATGATGATGGATCATGTGTTTACATTAAACAGGTGAGTGTTCCATGCAACAACTTGTTCGATATAGTAACCGTCCGTTGCGGGCACTGCACTAATCTATGGTCAGTTAACATGGCCGCCGCCTTCCATTCGCTCTCCGCATCCTGGCAGCAACACCAGCAACAAAACTTTCATCAAGTATTACATACTCTGTCTCTGTCTCTAAAAGTTGATCGGTCTCGTTTTAATTTTTTTTAATCACATAACCATTCTAAACATAATTTTGTTATTAATCTACTTATATACCTAGAGTTTTCAAATTAATAGTGTACTCAGTAATAATAACACATTTCTCAAGCTTGTCTTAATTTTTTTTTTTTTTTTTTTAAATATAAAATTATTCTACTGTATATGTATATTTTGGGAAGTGGGTGGATTATTAGATAATTTTATTAAAAATAAAAAAAGATAAATAATTTGATTTGGGAAGTCTAGGTCTCTTGGGATTTGTTTTTATAGGTATGACCTTTTTGTTGATTTGATTGGTAAAATTTGTTAGATCCTGCAGGTGTTTTTTTTTTTTTTTTCCTTCAATTGTAGGCTATAGCACACTCTACATATATATAGGTCTATTTATTTTAATTAATACTCCTTATTTACCTAAGCTAGTCTAGCTCTATGTCTTATAAACAGTATGCTAAAATCAAATAACAAAAAAAGTTAAAAATTAATTACATAAACCTTAATTTATAGGGGTGTTTAAGGCTTTAAGCTTTGCTTAGTTACCCATTTCTCTTTAACTTTCTTGATCTTTCCTAATCATTTTTCTTCTTTTAGCTACCTTGTTTGATTTGTGTCTCTCCTCGTCTTAAACTTCGATGATGACTAGTATGCTCGATAATTACTTGAGCTGGTTGAGCCCTATTTTGTTTTTTGTTTTTTTTTTTTTTATAAAGAAATTGTTGCGAACAATGTTTTTTATGATTATACAAAGAGTGTTTACACTTGTCGATTCCTAAACTCTACTACGCCGACATCGATTATCAATTAACATCTTATGTTAAACATATACTAGTCAAATAGTTAAGCATATATTAAACATTGATGATTAGTCTATTATGTTGTTAATGTTTTTTAAATTTATCATAACATTTAATTAATTTCTTTCATTAAACTTCATTCACATATGTTTTAGGCACCAAACAATGGCAATATGGGTGAATATAGGATTGACAATTTGGGTTCATCCTCCAAGTGCAACTACACTAACAAAGCAGCTACAACTATGCGAATTTCGCCTCCTATTAGCAATAATTCTGCTGAGGAAAGGATTATTAATCGCCGTAAGATTAATTTTCTTCTATTTAATTCAACATTAATACAACTATTAGTTTCTTTTCTAGGTATCTAATTAGTTTTACAATCTTATGTTTGATGATTCAAATCATTAACTTTGATTACAACGTTTTTGTTCATGTATTTAGCACCTGAGAAGAGGCAACGCGTACCATCTGTCTACAACCAATTCATAAAGTAATTAATCGTACACTTAAGATCGAGTTAATATATCAATATATGTACTTGTATATGATAAATACAATGCATTTAATTCAGTAATTAATGAATTTGTTATTTGTGAAATTTATGCAGAGAAGAAATTCAGAGGATCAAGGCTAATAATCCTGATATTAGTCATAGGGAAGCATTCAGTACTGCTGCCAAAAATGTGAGTCCACCAACATTGTCAATTTATCTGCACCATTATTCAGTGTCGGCCCAACTTTGAACATTAATATCTCTTGTAACATATACAATAATTAAATAAAACGATACTTTTATAGGTCAAAGTTCGATCAAGAAAGTATATATGACAGTGTGAGAAATAAATATACTTTGAATAATTATAACTTAATTTGCTTAATTATTTTTTTTTTGTTAATAACAGTGGGCACATTTTCCTCACATTCATTTTGGGCTGATGCTGGAGACCAACAATCAACCTAAGCTAGATGAGGTAAATTTTCACAGCTATTTACTTATTTAGTCCTGCATTTTTCGTTAAATTTAATTTACTAAGAACATTATACACGTACTAATTTTAACCAACACCATAATCATATACGGAGTAGTATTATAATTTTAATTGAAACAACCTTAATAATATATTTTAAGCATAGTGCAACATAGAACCCTTAATTTTTACTTAAACGGAGTATAATTTATCTTAGACAATGTAAAATGCAATATTGGTAAAGGAAGAATGGGAGATGAATTTGAACATACAAAAATAAAAATTAGATAATGTATAAAGCAACTTAAATTATGTAATAGAAAAATGTTCTAGGAGCATGTCATTCATTTATTGTCAAAAAATGTTTAGTTAAGCTGAAAATTAACAACAAAAACATGGATCATATATTGTCAATTGTTTAGTTAAGTTGCATGATAATTTTGCTTTTAATTTGATCTTCATTTAATACGTGTATAACTCTTCTTTTGTTGAATGATGGCGGCATTTATAATTAGTTTGATTAAGTTTCTTATTATTCAGTGAAATCCTTCAATTCACTAAAAGTCTTGTGGTTGATCGCGATTTTAGGGCTCGCAAAAGCATCTCATGCCAAGGACTGCTTTACTAAACAATTGATCGATCTTCCAAAGTACTCAAGAGTGGTACATTTTGTGTTCACATAAAGTACATGAAAACTAAACTATGTTCATTAAGAAGATGAGTAAACTGTATTTTTACTACTTTCAAGATATTTTGTGTGGGTTATTTCTATATCATGTGTTTAATCACATGATCATGTCATTAATATGCTAAGAACGTAATATTATTGTAATGCAAGTTAAAGCTCTCCTTATGTAAGTAATCTTGTGTTGCTATACTCCTTCTGTTGCTAATTGATTGTTTCTATCACTTTGACTTTTCGTTAAAATTACACAAAATATACGAATTTGAAATTGATGTCATAAAATATCTATTAAGCGATTGATGAGTCTCCTTCATTGAGCGAAAGCTTCAATTTAGTTTCCAAGCATGACTTCCAAGGTATGGGAGGACCACGGTATTGTCTTCTATGCATGTAAGATTACTAGAATGCAAGAAGTTGGTTGTGGGATCACATATGTTTGAGGGATCATATATGTAATTGAAATCAATGCATGAACGCAAAAATAGAGGTCGATGACACAAAAAATCTTAAGAAAAAAGAAAGTACTTGTACTATTATTTGGATGTACCATGTTACATACTTCTATATATTTTCTTCATTTCTTTTTAAATGACACAGTTAAAAAAAACACAAAGAATTATAATTAGGTTCTTAATTTGATAAAGTAAGAATATAATTGGAACTATAAATTGCAAAAATTACTAAAAAAAAAAAAAAAAAAAAAGTGTCAACCATACCAAACAAAAAATTAAAAAATAAATAAAATCTTATAATAGAATAAGTACGTAACATCTAAAATGAAATGAATGAAGCATACATTTGCTAGACAAACATAAAAACGTTATTTGTGTATACCATTTTCTATTCAGGGAGACTATAGATATAATCATACTCTATCTCAATTTCTTATTATCAGTCAACAAAAGTAATTTTCTTTATCATATTTACTTGTAATTAATATATATGTATTTTTTTTGAAACAACTTGTAGTTAATATATATCAATGTCTAATACTTACTTAGTTGATTTTTCACTATACGTTAGTTAATGCTTTGCTAAGTATCGTTGTAATAATATAAAAAAAATTGATTCAGATTCACGTTCGTAATCTTAAGACACTTTTAAATGATGAACGAACTTGTTTAGATAACTTTTAAAGCTCGGCATTGTATTGTGATATCAAACTCGATATTTACTACTCTTAACATGGAGATTCAATTTTGAATTCGAAAAGTTTATAGTAAAAATTTGACCATAGATGACACCAAACTTAAAATTGTCTATACATGATTAAGCTACAATTTCTATCTATCCTTAAGTTATGTACAAGATACTTAGTACTAAACTACAATTTCTATCTGTCCTTAACAAATTCTTAAAAGTATTTTAGGGAAGTCTCCCCATAAAACAACTTCTCAAGCCTCAAAGTCACATTTAGACAATTTATATTCATCACTAGGGCAATAAAATTGTAATTAGATGATGAGAATTAATAAATAAAGCCAATATAATCGTTCGTTTCAATGAAATTCATTTGAAGGTATATATATGCCTTTGAAATGATTATTGGGAAATACAGTTTCATGTAATTTATAAGTGAAAATACTTTAATTAGTTGAGTACATTAAGGCTTATGAATAAGACCCTTACTTTAGACTTTATAGTAACTATATATATGTATGAAGATAGAATGTTAGAAATCCTCCTTATTATCCACCAAATGACCTTCAATAAGTCTTATGGATGCTGTATCTATTTAATTTAATTGTTTTACTCCCCGTCAAAAAAAATAAAAAAAAAATAAAAATAAAAAAAGTCTTATTGTGAGAATCAAAGATTTTCAATCCTTCAACGAACTAATTAAGACCAACCGCCATACACCACAATTTTTATTAACTTTTTCTTACATATCTAAGCTAAGAAATGCTATACCTATTTAGCACGATGAAAATTCAAACATGTACAATCTAATATGAACTACATATATATGATGTAAACCTAAAAATCATAATTACTAAGCAAATAAAAATTCATCTAAAAGGTTGCCTATTTGGCTTAGAAGATATCTGAGAAAAAGACTAGTAGTTGAATCCAACATGCATAAAAATACAACTCATAAAATCAATACCTTTGATGATAAAAAGAATTTCATGGACCACATTTCTTTTACTAGCTAGCTATGTATGTACATAATTTTTTCTGTCTACTCCACCAAAAAATTGCCCTTTATTATTATTGCATTTGTGAGCTCCACTTAAACACTTAAATTATGAGTCAAAGTTTCTATTTCTTTTTCAGCATCACTTTTGCTAGCTTAACCAATCAGAGAATATCCCCAACATTTATACCTTAAAAGCCAAAATGGGAATGGCCTAAACATATGTTATGCACTATATATGTGTGTGTATATCATAATCTCAATGTTATGCTTGAATTTTGTACAGTGATAGTAAGATGTAGCTAGTTACAAGAATTTAAAATTTGTGGACCCCAAAAAAAGTGTCCGTATATATTATCTGGTAATTCGTCTAACTTCTTTTATACTTAGTATATTATATTATCTATCATTTATAAATTATATGAAGTAATATTATTATATGTATTTTTTTTATTTACACGGTGTATCTAATTGCATCATTTTCTATTAACTTGCGTATGTATGATCTTAAGTAAATGATTGTTAATAGAGATCAAAGAATTGAAGTATTTTCTATTGACCAACTTTCATGAAGAATTGAAGTTCCGTATTGAATTCTATTATACCGTGGAATTAAGTTGGATTCATGCATAGTTCAAGTAGAGCACAACATACCATCTATGTTAGTGGGACTAATTTTTGTCTTTTGGTATGTATTTTAATACAATGAGATTTGTAACCCAACTCCCTGAAATTCATTATATATAACAACAAATAATTTAACTTTCATATTACACTTCTTACATCAAATGAATAAGTTAGCTAAATCAATTAAATAAAACTCCTTGAAGTATTGTATCACAACCACCCTTACCATGTCTCAATTCCAAACGCAAATCCTCATTTAAGCTAGTCATATCATATCATTATTTCCTCGATAGTAAGTAGTACTCTATGCGTTATTTGATCCTCTATCCAGCCGAGGTAATAATCAAATATATAGTTGTCACTTTACTAGTTCAAAAGTAACACTAGTTTGGCTTTAAACTCCAGATAGATCAAAAAGAAATTATATCGATATAAATACCACCCAATAACTCGTTTCAATTATCCCAAAAAAAAAATAAATGGCTCTCTATCGATCCCACCATGGCACCATGAAAACTATATATCCATGTTCCCCTAGATGTAGTGGCGGAGTCATGGGGTGCTAGCAAAATCCATGGCCCCAACTGTTTATTTGTTTATTTTTTGGAATTGCTTAAAGAACAATAATTAGTAGCTATATAGTTGGTTGTAAGTATTGCAACAAAAGATATAATTCGTTAGTAATGAGTCGTTAGTTGAAATAATTGCTAACGGTTTCTAAGGCCGTTTGATCAAAACTCCTTATGCAAAAGACATTTTTCCCCCTCGACCCTTTATTTTTATTTATAACCTGTATGAAACCATACCCCTAGCTATGCAGCAAATAATTAAAATGGGACGGATAGAGTAGTAAACTACATACATACGGAGTACTTCGTATATGTATCATATTGGAACGATTTATTTCATTCTTGGTAGATGTGAAACAAAAGGACAAAGGCAAAGAGCAAAGACACTAGCTAGAGAAATGAATGCATGCATAAGCATTTATATGTGAAATGCATAAATCATGCACACTAAAGTTGAGGACCACCAAAGTAGTATATGTATGTATGTGTAGCAGCAAGAGTGATAATAAAAACATAATTTGCAGGACTCCCGTTGATCTATTGTATATATATGGATACAGATACAAAAAAAGTCTTTTGGCTAATTGGTTTAAATATGTTTTCTGTCCTAACGCTTAAAATTGACATGACCATATTACTACTAGCTAGAATATAGATAAGATAATGTATATATTTTGCTGCCAACTCACCAGAAACTCATACACATTGATTCATTTTGTAATTCAGTTCAGCTAGCTCATGTTGGTACAACAACAACATGACAACCTTGATAGAATATATAAACCAATTAAGTTAAGCTTTTGTTTGAATTGGTCCTCTATTATAGTATCAGAGCCAACGTGACACAAAAGTCACAGGTTCGAATTTCATCCATCCCTCCTTTTAAAGTGGAATATAAAACGGTGGGTATGATGGGGCCCATATTGCATCGTCCTCACATCAAGTCTAATGGATTATTGTGTGAGAGAGCGTGATAGAATATATAAATCAATCCCGAGCTTCAACCATCACCTTAACCTTTTGGTTGAGTTGGTCGTCTATCAAAATCTCAATAATGGTTAGTCTATATGAACCAAGATTTCATCTCCTGTGATAGTCAACCATAGTCCTCTCCCTCCATTCCCTTTCTCTCAAGTGATTTATCATGTACCCTTAAATCATGCCATTAGCCACTTAGATTACATGTCAAAACTTTTACTTTACATGGGATCGATGTCATATAAGATGCACCGTCGCTTATATTATACGAAGTATCGTAAATTAAAAGGAGTAAATTAATAAATTAACACATAGCTTCATCTTATCATGAATTCATGAACGAGATTTGGTGTATTGTAGCGCAAAAGTTTTAAGGGAGACTTTGGATGTTTGTAAAAATCTGCCATATCGTTAGGCAAAAGAACATTCAACTAAAGACAAGTGTCTGAAAAAATTGCACATGCTAACTCGTATAGTATAAATTCATATGATAGATTGATAGTGATGAATCACTTCCTAGTTTTGATGATATATATATATATATATATATATACAAAAAATTTAATAAAACGAGAAGATGAGAAATTAATAACTTGATGAAATTCAAGAATTAAGACGCTAGTACGGAATTTCATGCAGAATCATCATTTCTTTTAGGGATTATAACGTTTGACTAGTAATCAAATCCGACTCCTCAACAACTAACAATTAGAGTATTCAGCACATCTAAGGAAATCAAGCTATTAATGTTTAAGTTGGTGGTGTTGGTCATAGTTAGTTAGTGATAGTATAGGTATAGTATTATACCTTGTAATAATTTTAATTTATTTCTTATCTGTACTTTTAATGCACTAGGTTTTAAGAGTTCCTCATGTCTCCTCATGTTTTTGCCTAAGAGTCCTAACACTCCTTGTTTGCTGATTGTAGCCTATGTGAGTTGAGTTATTAGGTCGTTACACATGTCCTTGTTCAATTTATGAAGAAAAACTAATGCTCTTTATTTAATATCACATTGTTGATTAAGTTTACGATATAATTTCAATATGGTTATACTATACGTACAAATGATATTTAATTATGACCTTTATTGAGTCAAAAGTCTACCCAATATGCGTCGAAAAAATGAAATTAGAAATGTATGTCTTAGTAATTTGATGATTATGTACACTTTTTGAACACCCTCATATGTACTAGGCTTGTCCAATAAAAAGCAATGGATTAACGAAAATGGAAATTCCCACAAAACTAATATCCTTAGTCATACCCTAATTTCAATAACCTTCCTTGTAAGTGTGCTTTTTATTGTTTGGGTACTCAAAAATTTCAACTCAAACAGGTCAGATCAAGTGACTAAAGTTACTTCAATGCACTTGTGGGCTATAGCCGCCAACATGTGATAGACTTACAGCCACAAGCTACCTCATACACGTATTTCACTCATGTTCACCTACTGAAAGATAAATTAATATTCATTTCATATACAAACACGTAAATATGAAAAACCAAAAGCGTCATTCTAAATACTCTCAAATGCTCACTATAGCATCTCATTACATAATAGTCGTCATACCACCCCAACTTATCCAACATTATTGAGAAAACTATTATACTGTCAAGCTTATGAGTATTAATTACATTACATTACAACATTATTAATAATAATACATTAATAAACTAAAGAAAAAAAAAGAGGAAAAAAAGAAGAAAAAATACGGCTGAGGGAGCAGAAGAAGGAAGAAGGGGAGTGGGGTTAGAGACAGAATCTGAAACATCAAATCAATGTCTGGGGTAACCATTCATTCAATTTCATATTCATATAATGTCATGTCACTTCTGACTCTTCCTCTGTTTTCTCTCTCTCCACCCCCCACTTACTCCGGTGCCAATTTTTACTCAATTCCATAAAGTTAATGGGTGGACATTTTAAATCACATCAATTTGGCCCCCTGTTTTTTATCAGCACATCCCCTTGGTGTTTAGTGTTCACCAAAACGGATATTTTTTTTTTTTTACTCTAATATAGTAATATCTACACTTCTTTCGTGACATTCTTATAATCGATCAATGTTGAAACTCCCTCTGTCCTTTTATATCTGCATCATATGACTCAGATAACTCTCACATAAAGTGGGCCCATCGTGCAAATAAAAGGAAATAGAGGGAGTAACTAGTCTTTGGTTTTGACGATTCTGATCAATACTTCTGATATGACGTTGAAGTACAAGTGTTTGTAGCATATATTAAAAAGACGGGTTATTCAATTTTTTTATTTTTTTTTTTGAACTTTTAATATCCTTTTGTATATGTTTATTAGATGCAAGGATAAGAGAGACAAGGTTGTAGTAATACATGGTGATTATATGAACATAGCCACATAAGGAAAATGTGCATGTATGTTTCTTGTTCCCACATTTTCTTTTATGGATATTGTTTTAGCTAGTGTGTGAGATCTCACTTTGTCCAAACATGATATTATGCCAACGTAATCTATATGCGTTACCTTTTTCTTTTTTGTTATGCGAAATAAGATACTTCGTATATTGCTTTTTAACACAAAAAAACAGTTACAACCTATCTTGTCTAGAACAAACCTGATAAATTCTAATTAGTTCTAGACTCGAATTTGAGCAACAAATTGCAACTCAGCTCATTTCAACTCGCTAAACCTTCTTGATATTCTAATAAGGCAATCTGTAAATGTTTTCATATCTTATATACTGTCGATGTAAGGGTGATAACTTTGGTACATCATCCTTACTTAGTCCCACAAAGTCACTACTTCCCTTCGACCAAATTAAATGCTTCTTTTTAAACAGTCATGTGTTTTGCAAGGATGAAATAGGGCCCTTTGTAAAGGTAACACAAGGATAGGGTTCTTGAGAAAAAGAATTTCTATCTTTAAAAGGTTCCTCTTTTAATATGCTTCAAAGTAAAATCAGCAACTGTGATTTTTAGAGGAGTTACGTGGCTACTGCTCATGACTAGTATATAGCCCCAACAAAAGAGAAATGATAGAGAGAAGTATACAAAATTTCGAGGGCAAGAAATAAGACATGATCACAAATCATAATCTTGTCAACTAAAAAGAAACAGATGAAGTATTAAATAAGAACGACTTATCATCATAAGACATCTCACAAACGCATAGTTATTGCATACTGGTACATGGGTGCATTTTAGGGATTCTGGGAACAAACAGGGAAAGATTTTACAGCCATTCAGAAATGGAAACACTTGGTATAAACTTGGACTTCCACTTTTAAAGCCAAAGGTTGAAGAAATACTTCCTTCTAAAGCCTCTAATAAAAGACGTGTTCTCAGTTATCGTATACACAAGATCCTTCTTCCTCTAACTCCTGACTCGTATAAAGGAAAGGGCCACAAGGAGTGGGAGCAAGAGTTTTGAACTTCAGCTTTCATTAAGCAGTAATATATCTGGTCCAACCGATTCTCACATTTTGTTAATAAAAACGGGGACCAATAAACTGGAAATAGAAAAATGGAAGGGGAAAAAAAAAAGAAAGAAAATTTGAATAGGACATCGACATATCAATAATCTACCAAAAGAGGGGAGATAAATCGCGCTTAGTCAACAGATGTAGAGAAGAAACCAGTGAGTCACGTACTAACAGCACAAAGCATCAGAGGAGCCTATTGAACCAAAGTTTAGCCTACTTTTTCCTGACCCAAATTTGAACTTTGGGATAGCAGAATCATTAGGAGTAGGGGTGGTAGCATCATCACCTGCGACTGCAAAGGATAACCTAGTCTTTCCTGACCCAAATTTGAACTTGGGAGCTGAAGCATCATCATTTGGGGTGAAGGCCTTAGTTTTAGATGGGAAGGAAACAACAGGTGGTGCAATAGTTATCTTGTTGGGAGAGTTAGCAGAAACTTTCGACTGTGGAGGCGAACTCGTCAAGAAAGATGGCATTATAGATGGTGTTGGAGGCTCTGGTTCAGCAGATGTGGTAGAAGATGTATTAAAAGAAAAGGTGAAACCAGAACCAGAAGAAAATGAGGTTCCCATACTAGACTTTTCGATGGCAATGGATTTTAACATTGGCTTTCTGTGCGGATTTTGTGGTTCAGGTCTAGCTGAACTGTTCGTGATGGCTGCTGCTTTATTTGAGGCACCTGTAAACAAAGATGTCTTTGGTAAATCATTACTGATTCCCTGCAAGATCAAACGGATGAAATTAGGATAATAGGAAGACTGAAACAAAAATATTGACTTATATTCAGACATCCACAAAAAATATTGCTTCAATACCAACTACTTTATTCGCAAAAACTTGATACAACTTCATTTGCTACAGCTCCAAATATTAGACAAATTCATATAAGATAATAGAGATCATGCACATACCAAGTCACCAACCTGTATTGCACCATCACACAGCAAACACTCTCCCCCCCCCCCCCCATATGTTTCATTTATTTTCTTTTTCTCCCACTTGGGGTTTTTTCAAAGGGGGAGGGGAAGGGATGGCACAAAACAATTCAATCACTAACAACAAATTTTACTGGGTCACCAGGACACGCAATACAGAGGGGACTTGGCAAGATGACTTAGCAGATAGAAACTAAAGCATTCAACTATTATGTGCATGAGAATAGGAAAGAAAAACTTCATGAGTCTCACAGCAGGTCCTCAGTCATATTTACAATCTACAATACACAACTGACTCACACTGAGGGAGCAGAAATTATTTTTGTAGTATTAAAAATGGGGAAGAGAGGACACTAACATGTAAACTTCAGAACATGTTTCTTAAGAAAAATAAGTACCTGCTCTCCGCTCCTTTGAAAATCGAAAATTTTGAGACTACTACTGGCACCAACAGTAGAACTTCTTTTATCCAGAGATGTTATAGACCCAAATATATCTTTTCCAGTACCAGTGACGGTATTAGTTCTTTCCTGCGGCAGAACATTGTTCTGTCCATTAGTCTGAGCATTCTTTTTTTTGTCAACCATTACCCCAGCCGTACTTGAAGAACTGATGTTTTGAGCAGGTGTAGCCAAAGCAGCAGCAGAAGAGTCCTTCCACGAGGTAGCTAACTTCAACTCCTCTGAATTTTGTTTAATAGTGATTGGTCTATCAATTTGTTCTAATATATGCCTTGCAACTCTACTACTGTGTGGATGAGCACTGTGAACCCCAGCCTCAGGGCTCTTTGCCTTGCTATTCACAGAATTGAAAATAGCGGTACTGGAACTGCCTGGCTCAAAAAATTTCTTAGGTGTAAAATCCAAATTGGATTCTCTTGCCAAAGGACTTCTCTGTGCAGTTCTAAACAATGTAGATTCCCTTGAAGGTGTAGCTGAAGTAAACTTATTGCGCATCCTACGAACAGGACCGCCAGATCCATAAGTATCTTCTGTTTTATTGTTCATAGACTGCACCAAGAAGTATCAACTCAGAAATAAAGATCGTATAAAATTATAAATGAAACTAAAAAAAATTGCAAAATTTTCTAACGCAGGTATTAAAGATCAAATAAAGAAATACATGGAGTCTTGGAGAGTCTAGACTAGCAGTAGCCCATGCAGCAATACAGAACACAGAGGCCGTTTGACATACTACCACAACTAAACATATCTGTATTGCTTCACAAAATTGGATGAAAATAATAGATAATGAAAAATCTTTACTAAAAAAAATCCTGTGGCGACAATATTTTATGATGTACAGCCCTCCAAAATCTCAAAGCAGCATCTTTACCTAGTTATCTAAAAGGCAGACAATTTGCATAGTAGAAAGGATTCACTGATGACAATGATGAAAAAGTGATGCTACCTTCCCATAAACAGGAGTTGCAGTTGGTTGGAAGGGTGCAGGTGTAACACTTAGAAATCTCTCATTGTCACCACGCAATGGAGTCAGCTGATGCAGCAAGAAAAAGACTTTAACATCTTTATCAACCACAACAGATAATTTTTAGTAGGGAAAATTGACCAGACAAACCTTGGACTTGGATTTTGAAAACACGGTCCTTGAATAAGGAGTTCTAGGAAAACTATGAAAGCCAGATCTGTTATTCTGGGTTTGTGGTGTTGAATAATTCAGCTGATTCTGTGTGACGGCACCAGGCCAGCATATTGGTGCTTTCTGCAAAGGAGAGGGCATAGCTGGCTTTGATGAAAAATCACTAGACAAGCCAAATTTCTCAGATTTTGGCACCAAACTTGTAGGTGTAAAGCCCATTTCAGAAGTTTTGGAACCCATGTAAGCTCGAGCTATATCAACTGGTGAAGCACCAATTTCATCTTGCATCTGCAGAAGTTACAGAAATACCAAATTAACCAAAAACACAGAAACTAGTTTTCCAACTACTGTAAAGTGACAGCAGTCAAAACCTTTTGAAGTCAATAAGATGCCAACTTGATGACCTTTTGACAAAGATTTCATTTGCCCATTGTAGCTGTGAGCTAATATGCCAACATATTCTGGCATGTCAGCAAAGATAAATTATAAAGCAAAATAATACAACATAAGACAATCCCCAAAGAGAAAAGGGTACAAATTGCAATCCAAACATGCTTCAAGTATAGGATACAAAAGATTGCATTCCAATAATAGAAGGATAAAATTTTCCTGAGAACCAACTTTTTCGTATAAAAATTAAAAAAAAAAAAAAAAAAATCCTATAACTACAGTGAATTTAGAGGAATGCCTCATGCATATGGAAAATAGTATAAAAGTTTTAATTTGGAAGATATAGGTAACGATTAATTATATAAATCTCAACAACAAATGTTAACATTAGAAATTGAAAATCCCACAAAGCGACCCAGATACCTTCATGAGATAAGTGTCTAATGATAGCAGTGGATCATGTATAACATTTACTCACATGAAGGTAAAGCAAGGAAAAGTAGTCATAACACGGCATTGATTTAAGGGAATAATTAATAGCATCCAATGCACATCACAAGGAAAAATCATATTCATTCTTATACTCGTATATATCATGTTGCTGATATTAACTAAATTTTTTAATATTCAAAGCTTATGCACTAGTCAAAAACTCAGAACCTCATGAAGATTTCAGAAACATTGTGGTTAGCATTGAACATAATGCATATCAAGATAAACAGTTTCATTATCAGACCAAAGCTACGTATAGCCTTATAGGAGGCAGATTGTAAATAAAGTTAATGCTTGTACGAAACGGGAAGCAATGTGTTTCACTCACAGAAGGCCGTGAAAGAGAAGTTGAAGTTGCCAATTGAAATCTATTCATATCTTCGTCCTCGTCTACATATGTTTTTAGCCTTATAGAAGTTTCCGCCTTTTCAACTTCATTTCGTCCACTAATCTCAGGTGGTTTTCTACCTTGCTCAGCATCAACTACTTTGGAATGTAGTATCTTCATCAAATGATCAACGTCCTCCCTGCAAGTTAATACAAAATAATTAGGAATAGACAATTGATAACAGGGCAGAGTCTAGTACGTGACAATCTCACAATAAATTGATGACACATGGGAAACTTACTTTTTTAAGGTAATTTATCATTACCTGCATCCCAAAATGAACTTCACAAAAAAGAGAGAATTCCATTTTATACTAACTTTTCCCATTTCTCTCCTTATCTCATCAGTCATATTTTCCACCCAAATAAAAAGGTCTAATCTCTGACACTGCAAATAAAATGTTGCAAAGAGCCAAAGAGTGCATATTCAACCTAGCAGCAAGCCCAGCAACTATTACCTCTCCAAAGAAAAGAAAGAATATTCAAGAAGACAGAGATTGGTGATACTAACATACAATTAATAACAGGAACAATTTTCAACCAGATGTTGATGGTGCAGAATATTGCATTACAAAAAGAAGGGGCACTGAGCAACAAGAGGTATTCATATATTATGGTTAACTCGTGAACCTTGCAGATTAAGAGACCACTATCCAGACATGAACAAAGAGACTACTATCCAGACATGAACAAAGATAACAATCCTGACATGAGCCACATCTACCAAGAATCAAGCCATTAACATTGTGAATAAAGAGAACATTAACTACTGCAGATCATTATGTACCTCCAAATCCTTAAAAAAAAAAAAAAAAAAAAATATATATATATATATATATATATATATATATATAATAATAATAATAATAATAATAATAATAAAATAAATAAATAAATAAAACACAACTCACTTAGAAAATGTCTTCCCTTTGATAATCTGCTCAATGTCAGGAACTTTACCACCTGAACAGCCTTCACTTTCATCTAGTCCATCTTCATCAGTAATGTCAAGCTTTGATTTCCCTTTGACTTCGCTGGGGTCTACCCCAACAGTTGATTTGGGAACAACATGCTGGAATGTATATATGCAGACAACAGAGACAAAACACAGTTAAGCTCATATAAAGGAGATAAGAAAACTCAAAATAATTTCACGCTTCAAGGCTCAACATATCTTTAATTTATTATAAAAGGTTCATAATCTTCATATTTTGACAATACACATTAAGATTAATCTAAAGAGATCCCACATGACTACGTTTTCGATGAGAATGGTGTAAACATTTGTAAGAGGTTTGGTCAAACCAGACTAACATGCACCAAAAAATTTTAAGCTTCACGCTTTCATTTACAACATGGGGATGATAAGCTTACAATAATTGAACCATCACTGTAGCAGATGTCCAAAAGGCCAAATAACTTACTCTTCTCTCCACCCGCCCACACACAAACGAATAAGAATAATATACAAGTATAATAATAGTCCATCCCAAAAAGTTAAGTTCTATATTAAGTTCAGAAGATATAACGTGCAATCAGTCATAACCATGTGGCACAGACATGGGTGACTTTCAATAGCAGAAGCCATATATGTATAAGAACAAATGCATAAGATTTACAAAAACACGCAAGTCTTACATTCACTAAACAATTCTCTTTGGAATCTTCAACTTCTTGTTCTTCCTCTGTTTGCACCTCATTAGCTACAGTTGGAAAAAAAAATCATTAGGAAAAATAAGGGGATGTAAAAATACTTAAGAGCACAAGTCTAAAACAAAAATCAACATAAAGTGAGATTTATACATGTAATAGAAAAGAAATATTTTATTGAGAGAGAGAGAGGGAGAAGGGGAGTAGAGAGAAAAGTAAAAATCCAGCAGATTGATACAGAATGCAACAAAAACTAACAGTATATGAAACACCACGTACCAAAGTTCACATTTATCGTGAGCTATGGATTAAAAAAAAAAAATCCATGTTCTTATATTTATTCTCCATTCTTTACTAACGAAGATCCCTTGATTAAAACTCTCACAACTGATTATCTGAAACTCTCTTAATCCAATGGCGTCAAACCAGAAATACACTAACAAGTTGTTTGATTACATGCTGATTCTCGGCCTCTCAATACAATATAATTATATTAAGGCCTTTTGTGACATGAAGGCCAACGAAAAGGATATTCAGTTACAAATTTCTAACTTGCTGAGCCGTGAAAAGTTGTTCTGTAGCGTATGATTTAGATCAGAGTGACAACCATTTCAAACCTTAATGCTACTGTATAAGCCATAATTATCCAAAACTTAAGGTAGTTTTGCAAAGAAATAATAATAAATAGACAAAATAGAGCTTCATAATGCTATTAATTTTTATGATTGTGAATAATTTATTTCTTGGAAAAATAATTATGGTTTAAAAAGGTATACTTGAACCTATAAATTTATGTATAGGATTATAGGCTCAAGAACTCTGCAATTCCAATGATAAGGTAAAGTTTAGTAATTTGTTAATTTATGCTGAGATGGCTGCAAGGCATGAGTCCAGTTTTACAACACAGATTTATTTTCAATGTTCAAAACTAATACGGGAGTGTTTGGTCCAATATTTTTTTTATTTATTTTTTTGATACCTAGAAGGGTCCAACTACCATACCTTGATACCTTCAAAGTATTGGGTTCTCATACTTTGGTGGGTAGGAGGGTAAGAGCCAAACTCATGAACCAGAAATCAATTTGATGAGAGAGAGAGAGAGAGTGAGAGAATAAAAAACCAAAAACTATACACTACTCTTTGAACTTTTCTTTCCTCTCCTGTCAACCCCCTTCGACCAAAAAAGGAAGGACTTAGAAATATGAACATCAACCCCTCATCAACCATGGCATTTTCCATAGCCAAAAAAAAAGGAACTAAATATAACTCATTTTTCATGCTTTAGTAATCACCAAGACTATAGAATATGAACTTTGGCCATTGAAGATTCAAAACTGAAAAGCTTGACGAACACACTCGACAATTTAAGGTGAAAAAGTGAGTCTTGATGGTCATTTGAAGAAGTGTCTTTTTTTTTCTTTTTTTTTTCTTGAGTAAGAAAGACAGAGTTTTGTTGGAGCCTAGGAGGCGCAGCAATAAAACAATCATCAATTGTGTTCATGGAGGAAGGGTAATGGAGAAGAGAATAAGAGGGAGGGCTGATGGAGGATAAGTAAATGTAAATTATTTTATAGAATAATGAGTTTCAAATTCTGTTTTATGAACCAAACTTCTAATTTAGGTATGGGTTCATATGTAGCTATCACTCATTCCAAACCCAAGGGTTTAATCCTAACCCTACACTTGATTCCACTCATTCCATAGTTACCACAAAACCTCCTAGCACTACTCCGTGTCTTTTACAATTTTGGCACTGCTTTCCTATGGAGAAGCACAACAATTACATCTACACCACCACCAAAACGATGCTGAATTTAATAAAAACTTATAGGGTTGGCTATAGGGTATCATGTCAAATCAAAGAATCATTCTTTCTCATGGCTAGACTCAACTATAAGCACTTCTTAATCCAGCATCACTCTTATTCTGGAGAACATTTATAAAAACAATCCATTCAAAGGTACAGACACACCATCACTGCCTCTTAGAATAAGCAGTCACTAACTCCTCCACCAACATGTACCGATGAAGAACTGACCAACTCAAACACTCCAGCTCCCAAACAATAAATCATCACCGCTAAAGTTATGACACAGCAAAGAATGCCACATAACATCTCACTTAACTATGACACATGCTGCAATTTCTAAGACCCTTTCTCCAAAGCACCTCCAAACAGTAGCCACCCCACCCATGTATAAATTTCAAAAATCTCAAATTGCAACCACATAGCAAGTCAAGTTCATGGTATATGCAAATTCGAAACCACACAATGAGATCGATAGGACATGAATTACAAACCACTAAGATCATACTTACTCAACAATAGAAGTTCACTAACAAGTAACAACCAGTGCGTTCAAACTATAAACCTACAGCCTATAGGTGTCCGACGTGAGTACCAGAGTCTGAGTAACATAGCCTATGGCGGCATTACTTTAGTAGCAGCTTAATCATAAATTCTAGTCAGTCAACAATAACTCAATCATCCAACTTGCATTATGAATCAACCTCACTATTAATCTCATAAACACAAATCCGCATAATAAGATAATTAAAAACTACCCTTTCATGGATTGCTGAATTACTTAAAACTAAATGAAAAATAGGCCAAAAATCAAAGAACAACTCTCTAAACTAAACAGAGCAACATGATTGATAGAATTTGCAATACGAACAACAAACCCTAGATATAAACACCAACAAATTAACCTCAAATTATCAACAGAAAACAGAAATTGAAAACAACAATATTAACCCTAGGAAATCAAACAAGGAAGATGAATAAATGGAGAGAGAGTACCGGTTTCAATGGAGGAAGGAACAGGATAGAAGAGAGAAGGTAGGCCAGAGAAGAGGCGTTTAGCGGGGTCCACAAACCTCGAAATCCAACGGCCAGTACGAGGTGGTCGATCGTACGGCGTTGCCGGTGGTTTTCTCTCTCTTCGAAGCTTTCCGCCGCCGCCTCTCTCACCTTCTCCTCGGTATAACTCCGGCGCCGTCGCAGAGGAAGATTCGCCGGCGTCCGCCATCGATAATCGGGAAATTTTGAAAGTCGAGTATGAGAAGAGAGTTTGAGAGTGAGGATTTTGTTAGTCAAATATTTACTACGTATTATTAGTATAAAAGATTTTTTTTTTTTTTTTTTTTTTTTTTTGACACGGAAGTTTGAATTATTATAAACCTGCAATCATATTACAAGGTAAAATTTAATCTTTTTCACAATGTGTATCAAATTGTGAAATGAAATCAATTGAATATTAATTTGATAGTTAATCAGGGTACGTTTGGAATAAATGGATAATATCATACATAGTAAAACTAGTAAAAGTCATTGAACATTTACATAATGTATGTATGAGGTATGACAAATTTTATTATACATCCTTAGATTTAGATTTACGAGGAAGAAAAGAGATGTGGCATTTGGGTCATGTTTTGTTGGGTTATTTTGGGTTTATTGGGTCTCCGGGTCAAATTTAAATCGAATAAGGTCTGTTTGAGTTTCATATATGCTCAGGTCAATGAATAATCGGTTCAGGTTGGTTTTCAGGTTATGTTTAAGTCTAATTTAGATTGGGTCATTTCGAGTTAGGATGACTTTCAGGTTGAAACTTTGTGTCAAGTTCTAATCAAGTTTAATTCGAATCATGTCATTTTAAGTTAAATTGAATTTATAATCCAGATCTTGAGTTGAGTTTAAATCAGGTCATTATCAGTGCTTTTTACTAACAATGATCATATTTCTCCAAATATGTAAAGTTTAATTTCAAGACAAGCCAAAACTCTGATGCAAACTATGATAAACTTTACCCCAATTGTTCAAATTAGAAAACTCCATACTTAAAATTATATCATTTACAAAAATATTTTTATAGTGCGTAAAACTCTAACCCCCATACTTAACTTATTTACAAAAATATGATACTCAACACTCATCCTTCATTCTCATATGAATCGTACCCAACCTTTTTAGTGTTAATAATCTTAATATCTACCCTTTATGAAAACATTAAAGTTTTCTTTTTTAAAAAAAATCTTTTTAAAAGTTTTACTCCTAATTAATAGTACGTTAAAATTTGAAAATAATTCTCACTATGCCTTAAGAATAGGAAAAAAATGTGATCCTAATTTCCTCCTTAATTAACTCATCCTCCAATAATTCTCATTCCTCCGTTTCAACACTTGAAATTTCCTCCCCCTCACTAACACAATCCATAACATTTCTCGACCAAATAAACCATACCACATCAAAAGCCAAAAATATGTCAACCTCCCCCAACTCTCATCCTACCTCCCCTTCCTCCACCACATCCTCCCCAACACACCCTCCACCCATCTCCATTTCCACCACCACGACCGTCACACTAACCGCAGCTTCCACCTCTTCCCCAACTAAGGTGCAAGCCGCCCTCGACTCCTTAACCACAATCCTCCCTACCCCTCTCTCCTCCCTCTCCTCCACCACCATCATTTCCCCTTCACCCCCCGCCTTCGTCCTCTTGACTTCCCCCGAAATCACCTCCCAAATCTCCTCCTTACTCCGCCACCCTTTCTCAGGGTCCGGTGACAACCACCTTTGTCGTTGGCTCTACGACACATTCCACTCCTTTGACCCTTCCGTCCAACTCATTGTCTTACGCTTTGTCCCTCTTATATCCGGCCTTTACCTCACCCGCATCAATCGTCGTCCACGCCAACCCTTAGCCGGTTTCGAGGCCATCCTCCTAGCCCTTTACGCACACGAAACCACCACTCGAAACAACCACCCCATTACCGTAACAATCCCTGACCTCTCCCACCCTAGCATCTACCACGAAAGCTCCTCCCCTCAATGCAACAACTCCACTGACCTCAACATTGCCGTTATCTCATCCTCCCTCGAACCCCACGGCACCATACGATCCACTCGTAGGGCAAGGATCGTAGGTGTCGCGCTAGAGTTATTTTTCAGCAAGATTTGTGTCATGCCTACCGAGTCTAAGCTCGATTTTTGCGAGTTCTTATGCCAATGGGCCGGATCACATAACAGCAACGACGACAACAACAACGACAATGACAACGACAACAACGAAAACCAAAGTGACGACGACAAAGACGGACAAGGGAGGATATTGCTACCGTGGGAGTTTTTAGGGCCATGTCTTAGAATACTAGGACATTGTTTGTTAGGAAAAGAAAAGGAAGAAGAGTTATTGTTAAGTGAAAAAGGATATAGGGCTTGTAAAAGCTTGTATAATAGGGTTATGCATGATGTTAATCCTAAAGCAATTTTGGTTGTTGGTAGTTTGTTAAGACTTGTTAATATGGAGAAAGAGTTAGATGAGGTTGATTATACTGAGATTCATAGCACTAGGGTTATTTCCATTTGATTTGTACTATTACTTTGTAGTTTTATTATATCTTTATGATGATGTTTCGGTTTTATTTTTATATATTTAATGTAATTCAATATCTTTATTGTGATTGTGGAACAAATCGGAGGAAATATATACAAATAATACAAGTATATGTCAGCCATACTTCCTATTAAGCTTGAGGGGCTCGACCCCTTTAATTAATCTTCTATGAGAAATACTTTTATATCTACAACAACGTTTTATGGTACCCTTCTATTCTTTTATATCAAATTTTTATAAGTATAACATTCATATTGACAACAAATTATATAATAAATAAAGTCGGTCTCGCATTCAGGCCACGAGACAGCGATACTTAGCATTTCAGTTTTTCGCCAAGTGTCGCACTACGTCGGCAACAAATAGGTATTATTGAGACACATATGATGCTAAGTAAGCGAAATTTGGATAGATTTTTAAAGATAAAAATGTTGTATAGAGTTTTATTATCGATACACTTCTAATATTTAATATATACAAAAGGTATAGAGTTTTATTAACGATAGAATTCTAATATTTCATATATACAAAATTAATCATAACTTTTAATAAATATCCTATAACTCTGTTCTATTTCCATCTATCATCAAATTTGTTTTAATGTTCTTTAAAATAAGATCCATTTATAATATATTTAATCAAAAACTTTTATAGGTAGCTGGTCAAACCGTGTCACCAACTGTTACAAGAGTTATTTCGTTAGTGCTATAGAGGTTACTCGGTCAGTGTTATAGTGGTTACTCAATCAGTGTTATAGATAGGGGTTACCTAGTCAGTGTTAGAGGTTACTTAGTTAGTATTACAGGGGTTACTCACTTAATTTTATAGGTATTACTTTGTCTAGCCAGATGGTGTGGCTAGTCGCATACAAAATGCATTGTTATTTAACTTATTTAACAAAACATTAGAGAATCAGTAAAAATAAGTTTTAATTAGTAAAAAATAATTTTACTTTGGTGAAAATACTTTCGGTTCAGTGAAAATAATTTAAGTTTAATAAATATAATTTCAAGTTAATAATGACATATATATCTATTTACAAACAAAACTACAAAAAGTACACTACTATATAAATATAAGTCATATGATATCGTATGTCTAAATATCCTACATTATCAGAATAAATTATTTGACCGTACTTAACATTCAAGTAAAAATGTTATCTTAAAATTTTATCAACCTGGGCATTGCTTAGGCACAAAAAGTACACTTTTTATGATATCGTATATCTAAATATCCTACATTATCAGAACAAATTATTTGACCTTATTTAACATTCAAGTAAAAATATTATTTTAAAATTTTATCAACCTTCTGAGCATCGTCTGGACACAAAACTAAGTAAGAATTTAAATTACGTACCCTTCTCTTCTTTGATATATGATACGAAGGACTTTATATTATTGTTGGAGTCAATGAGTCATGCGTATATGGAGGAGATCGAAAAGGATGACGTTACATGATACTTGACAAATAAATTATTGTTCGATAAATCATTCAAATGCCAATGACATCATTGTCATGCACAAATGGTGTCTGTAATCTCTAATAGCCATTTTTCATCTATATCTTTAATCTTTCTATAAAATAGTCAATAATGACTATTATTATTAGGAGCAGTAAAAGCCTATTTGTAAGGAAATAAACTCTCTTTAAGATAACTTTGTGGTACCTTGACATGACCTTGATCAAAATATTCCCCCTTCATGTGATTTCTAAAGTAATAGTAGTTCAAAAAAATATTATAAGAGGCCATGATTAAAGGAAGAACATAGGTCATTTTAAAGTTATTTTAGACCCAATCAATTCATAATTATATTTATTTTTTGGTTCAAATGAGTCACAAGGCCATTATAAATTTAAATATCTGTTACATATAAAGTATATATCGTACAATATAGGTAGTCGATCTTATTAAGAATATTAGTTAAAAATAAAAAAGTGCGAAAGATATGAACTTGTGACATATTCTACAACATAGTTAATCGATCTTATCAAAACATATCAAAATGACTACAGACAAAATAAAAGTGCTCAATAATTGTAGACACAAAAAATTCTTGGTGTGAATGTAAACTTGTGGGTTTGGACCAAAATGTTCTTATGATCATCTATAACTTTGTACCATATTAGCCAGGAATATCGCAAGCAAGGGTATTTCTAATATCGCCCATTCAATAGCTGGCCCCACTTAAGGGGGAAATAAAAAGGCATTGAACCATAGTTCATACTACATAACAATATAACATAGGTCCATAGGCGAGGAAGTACTAATGAAGGTTTGATATGTATTTGCAAATACATATCAAACCTTAAAATATTAAAAAGTATTGTAAGCACATGGGGGTGAGAGAAAGGAGGAGAGAGATTAACAAGTGGGACCAATTTTTAAATGTACCACTAAAAACTTATATAATATCATTGAATATGTAGTTATATTATTTCTATGCGTAGTTGGTACTACTAAATGAATATATAGTACCATTGAATGAATATATAGTACCACTGAATGTTCAATGATACTATTTGATCATCTAGTGGTACACTTAAATCCAGCACGTGGAGGTAAGAGAAAAGGAGGAGAGAGATGGGTAAATTTCATGCGAAATGTCTCAAATTGATATGTATATACAAGTACCTATCAAACCTCCCTTTGGAAGGCCTCGGTCCATAGGCATAAGTCTATAACGAATTTCTCAAAATCCATCAATCAATTCTTAGAATTGAAATCACTAGAGCTGTCAACCAACTATATTGGCCAGCCAACTTGGCGAATATTTGCACTCTGTACTTTCGTACAAGCTAACTTAAAGGTGTAATATAGATGTCAATTATCTTAATTGATTAAAGTCTTTAGATATGATATTTAAAACTTGATATCAAATTCTATCGCATCATTGCCCTTATGACTCTCTTTATTTCATACATACAACTTCTAACTATATATGTTTAGACTGCCTCCTTATGTATAATACCGAAATTACAAGTACTGAGAAATTAATTTTAGTTATTACGCTAGCGTGACGCATAGCTTAGGTGACACATATACTTGTAACTCACAAAGATATCTTATGTTTGTCCACCATCAATTTAGTCAAAATAATTTTGGTGTCAATTTTCCATTTTGTGCTTTATGCCAATACTCGTGTCCAATCCCTGTCCAACCTAAGACCTAGCAGTATCAAACATTATTCCATTAATATGCATGATATATACTAAACTGCTCATAAGTTCATCACTTTCACCTTCAAGCTAAGTCAAGAAAGTAACATAAACAACTCAGAATAGAAAAGAGAAAAATAAGATGGAAGCTATGAAAATTGCTGAAGTAGTGCAGACAAGTGAGCCAGTAAAGGACACATACAAAATAGCATACATCCTACATTTCTTCCTAGGAGCCGGCAATCTTCTTCCATGGAACACGTTCATCACAGCCATTGATTACTTCGCGTATCTATACCCAGCAAAGCACATTGAAAGAGTCTTCTCAGTGGCTTACATGACTTCCTCACTACTCGTCTTGTTACTGATGATAAAGGGCCAAGGAAGCACCATGAGAAGCAAAGTTAGCTTTAGACTAAAAATGAATGTTGGCTTCTCCATGTTTGTTCTGTCTTTAATGGTAACTCCAACAATCGATTGGGCTAAAGGGTCGTCGTCCATGATGTGGAAGTCTGATGGGAGCTTCATCGCGACTGTGGCATCTGTGGTGATGTGTGGTTTAGCTGATGGACTGATCGGAGGAAGCTTGATAGGTTCTGCAGGAAAGTTGCCCAAGGAGTATATGCAGGCAGTTTTTGCTGGAACTGCTTCCTCAGGTTATGTTATATCCCAACTCTTTTCCTTAGAATAATGTAAATTTTTCTTTGGCCCTGTTGTACAATGTAAATCTGGAAACTCTAAAAATGGAAAATACAGGAAAAGGTGCAAAATTAAAAGTAATACAAAGTAATCAATAGAATCAGTTCTCAAAGACTGCTTCCAAGAGTAGAAACAGGGTTAGTTAACCAAATTTAGCTTACTCGTAAGTGGTAACTAGTGACTATACCACATGCGCGAGTGGTGAGGGTTTCTTATCAATATAAACAAGCCTAACCCGAACAATTAGTGAGCAAAGTTGCTCAACATCATCACCATGTGTCCATGTCAAAGTGTCTAGACCCGAATATCTAGTATGCTGGATTGCTGGAGTACTCTTTAAAAAAATGCGGAGTGCAAATTAGTTCTAACTCTGGTTAAAGAATTGGAAGTAAACTAAAGTATACACAATTACTAGTTACACAGATAATTAAAGGACCTAAGAACCCTCAAAGCTCAAAAGGAAAAAGTAAAATAATGTGACTGTAGTTATAATTATAATGGAACTTATAATACATCATGTATGTATGTGCAGGGGTTCTAGTTTCTGTTTTGAGGGTCATAACAAAGGCATCGCTCCCTGAGAATCCACGAGGTTTACAAACAAGTGCGCATTTCTACTTCATCGTGAGCGCCATCATCGTGGTGATCTGCACAATCTGCAGCAACCTGCTGTTCAGACTCCCAGTAATGCAAGAGCATTGCAACAAGCAACTATCTCAACAACACAATCACGATCCTACAACTTATAGGCCTGAACTTTCTGACATTGCCAAGAAAATCCTACATCCCACAATAGGAATCCTATCAATTTATGTTGTTACTCTATCAATTTTCCCTGGATTCATTTCAGATGATAATCATAAATCTGACTTGCTTAAAGACTGGTACCCGATTTTGGTTATCATGGTCTACAATTTTTCAGACTTAGCCGGAAAATCCCTCACTGCTTTATTGATTCCAAGCAACACAACTAGAGTGACATGGGCGTGTTTGGCAAGAGTCGTGTTTTACCCTGCTTTCAGAGCAAATCTTCATGGACCTAGGTGGCTTAAGAGTGAAATTTTTACAGTGTTGCTGACATTTTTGCTTGGTATAAGTAATGGCTATCTAACAAGTACCCTTATGATTCTAACTCCGAAATCCGTGAGCTTGTTGGAGGCAGAAACTGCTGCTGTTGTCATGGCCATGGCTCTTGGTGTTGGCTTGGTTGTAGGCTCAATTCTAGGTTGGCTCTGGATCATATGATAAATGATCTCTTCTTGTGTTGGCCCTAGATCATATTATAATCTATAATATGTATCAGGTTTTTTGTACCAAATTATGCATATCTTGTCTTAAATTGTTGTAGAAATGAAGTTTTATCAGCTTGTTACATTTTCTTTATCCTCATTGTAGTATAATTCATCAATTAGTAAGATTTACTATCTCTATTTTTTTTTAACTCACTTTTATTTTATTTCATACCTAGCAAACTCCTTTTACAATCTTATGCTATACTATTTACACATTTTCATGAAAATCCATTACTTTATGAACTTGTAACACAAAGTATGAGAAAGGGAAATGAAAAACAAAGAAGAAAAACTACTGCTCCATTCAATCCACTCTTCATTAACAAACATGATACATAAACATGCCTTTAATACGCTCTAAAGATATTGACAGTAGCTAAAAATCATATAATTAGATATTGCTAGATTCATTACCTCGCTAAGGGGGGGCGTTAGTAACGTACTATAAAATTACTTAAACTAGAAATCAAGTTCCCACTAATTTAATTTGAAGCATGACTTTTTCTGTTTCTAAATAAATGCATCACTTTGACTTTTTTAATATTAATAATTACCAAACAACTATTGTTATGTAAAATGTTTTACATGAAAGGAAAATAGCTTATAATATACGAGTACTATACAAAATAAGGAATACTTCAAAACACTTGGGAAGAGGGATATAATGGTCTTCCCACAAGCACTATACCATTTCCAAGTAGAATGTTGGAATAGCTCCTACTGTGGTATTCATTAGCTTAAACAACCCAAACCCTGGAACCCAACTTGTTGATCTCTGTTCCGAAACAAACCCCCCCCCCTCCTCGTGAGGCTACTCTTTGTTGGATCCTTCACAAGCTCAAAGGCTCAAAAACCAGTGGCAGATCTTGGCCAAAAATATTAGAGGGGCTGGAATTTAAATTTTTAACCTCTCACTCAAAACTAATCACTATGTTCTAATATTTTATACTACCTCCAGAACAAATTATATGCAACTTTGGAGCTCTCACGGAGCCCAAGACAAAATTTCATAATAGTGATTTAATAGATTAAAGAGTATGTAATTAAGGGCAGGAGAGAGAATGGAGATAATTAACCACCACCACCATCAACAACAGTCACCCCACTAGGCTACCACCATAGCCTAACCGCAGCCTCGTCGGCACCACCTCCACTCACCCTGAACCACCGCAAAACCAACCCAAAACCACCTCCACTCACCCTGAAACCACCCAACTCATCCAAAACCACCCCTGAACCAACCCGAAACCACCCCCACTCACCCCGAAACTCCAGAAATCATCTCCCAGTGATCCCGATACACCTCGAACCCACCCTTACTCACCCCAAACACCCTAAACACCCTGAACCCACACCACCACTCACCCGACCAACCATCGTCGAACCCACCCCGAAAACTGCCTAAACTAGTCGAATTAACTCGCTGAGCAGCTCGATTTCTTGCTCATCCTCACTCACTAAAACAGCGGCATCGAGTGGGGTGAGATCCGTCATATTCGGAGAATAAGTTTCAAGAGAGAGGAGAGAGAAGGTGAAGGTAGGACGATGCCGTACAACAATGACATGAGAGAGAAAGTGGAGTAGAGAAGGAAGAACGAAGAAGAAGTCAATTTAGGGTTTTAATCCCAGAAAAATTTGGGGAAATGTTGGCCCAGATTGATATTTTTTTTTTTTAAAGCTGGGTGATTGCTGATTGGGGGATTGAATTAATTTTGGTGGGACTACTTAATTTAATCTAGTTAGATTAAGGGGGCGTTTGGTTTGCACAGGGTAAACGGAATGGAATGAACAAAGGGAATGGAATGAAAATCCCTCAAATGTAGTATGTTGTTTGGCTGTAAAAACAATGGGAATCACTAGATTCACCACCACCACACCCACACACCCTCACTTTCTTCACCGACGGAACCCTAACCCCCATCCCTACCCCTCACAGACCTAACCCCTCCAACTACACGGTGGTTGACTTATAAGGGTTTCTAGGGTCGAGGTGGCATTTTTGAGGAGAGGGGGTGGCGTTTTCAAGGGCTATGCGTGGGTGTGGGGAAGGTTTTCCATGGAGGGAAGGTAGTTTCAAGGGGCGGTGAAGGGTTAGGGAGGGGCGGCGAGTTCCGGCGAAGGGTTAGGGAGGGGCGGTGACTGGTGCGACGTGGGGATGGCCGGGATTAGGGAATTTTTTCGAGGGAGTTAGAGGCGATGGCCGGCGAGGGGTGGGGGAGGGGATGGCCGGCGAGGGTGGGGGAGGTGCGGCGAAGGGTAGGCGGTGGTGCGGTTTCCGGTGATGTGGGTAGGTAGGAGGGTGGTGGTATGGTGGTGTGCTGGTGGCCAAGGAATGGAATGGAAATACCTTGGGGGGGTGAGGAATGAACTTGGAGGGATTTGGGGGAATAAAGGGGGTAAAGGGAATTGGAAAAGTGGCCTAACAAACAAGCACAAAGGAAATGATTCTCGTCGATTCCCATTCCCTTTGTTGAATACCCCCAACCAAACGGCCCCTAAGTGTTTTAATAACCTTAGTTTAGTTGTCTAACTAAGTTTTAAAGAAATTTAGTAAGGGTAAAACAGTAATTTCATTTTTAAAAATTTACTAAAAATAAAAAGAATGGGAAGGTTGCATCTAATGTGAAATTTTCGTTTTTGGCAAAAGTTGCATATAATATGTTCCGGAGGTAGTAAGTAAAATAAGGTTATTTATGTTCATCATCTAATTAATTACAATAATTTACCGAATGGCCCCGGTGGAAGGTCCCCCTCTGCTCAAAACCATCTTTAGAGCCACCCAACCAATCCGGTTTTATATGTGCTTCTACACTCTACCCATTAGTGATCATTGCACTAACGGAAGAAAAATATTTTCTATCCTTTTGCCACTCTTATTTTTTCTGTTGGGCCGATCACTTGATTAGATCATGAGCCATCTTATCAATTTTAACCCCAACTGACATTACGGGGGTTCTTATCTAACACAATAGCAAGTGGAAAGATCAAGCAGCAAGGGAGAATAAGGTTAAACCTACATAACATAACTGCAGAAAGTATGTCGAAAGCATACCAGAGCCTGCTTGTCCATGCTGGAGTGGGATGCTGGAAAAGCAAAGATCTCTACTCTTACGCACCAGTCCAGTGTAACAACTGCATTAGTGGATTTTGTTACCCAATGACACATTTGCAATTTCAGTTGTAAAGATCTTAAAACTTAAAAAAAATCTTGCACCCAAACTGCATAGCTAATCATGTATATTTCAAATTGGACAATGGCTTCAATCAAATATAAGATTATTTCCCTCATACGGCAGAGGAAACACCTTAGCAGTATTTTGACACACATTTCAAGTAGTCATATGAAACATCTTTGGTCAGAGGATATAGAGATGTAGTCTCTCTGTTATCCTCGTACATACTATCTGGATTATATTTCTTCTTCACACAACGTACACAAGCATTTTTTAAGATTGACCAAATAGTTTCCATTTACTTATTATGCAACATGTAAATGACATCCCAACTAAGTATTTTTACTAGTATCCATTTATTCTATAGACATGAACAATTTATTCCAGAATCAGGATAGTCCAAAATGGTTAAGTATGGTGGTAGTTAATCACTTTTACCTTATACGGATGAAAAATACTTGCTTTCTCCACAAGATCTTGCATGGAATTTCTTGGCCAGTAATGTCTAAGAGGCACGTCAAATGAGTCCTGAAATGTGGGGTGATTGACACAGCCAGTCCAGATTTTCCCATAAAAATTAGATCAAAGCATCAAACCCAAGCTTAAGCTCTATCTCTTATGTTTCGTCACTTGAGAATCCACATTCAAGTCTCATTGCAGCCAACAGCTCTGGAGAGACAGCTAATGAAGGTATATCAGCTTGTCTATCATGATCCCTATCATTAGAAGCATGGCCAGTTTCCACTCCAGCACCCCAACCTCTGTAAAGTATGATTTTGCTTGGCTCTTGGGATACCAAAACTCCACCTGTTTCTTGCTGCAACAAGTTAAATGAGGAAACAGCCTTGAATTAAACAAGAACAATGGTCACATAAAAATAAAAAAAAAATAAAAAAAATCAAACTTCAGTGAACAACTGCACACACCTCCAGTTTGAAAACCACCTCCTGAACTGAGGTCCCTTTAGCTCTCCCCTTGACATTGACAATAGCTAGAGGATATTTCTTAAAGTGGTCCTTGATTGCTTTCGCAACACCAGTAACAACATTGCTCTTGCCTGCAAGATAGTAACCAAAAACAATTTTTGTCAAAAGTTTGGAAGAAAAAAAGTTCAAATTGGTGAAGTGGTGAACAGGATATTGTTATAATATTATTCAAGAAAGATGTAGAATGAGATATGAGTACTTTCAACCGAAGAACAAATGCATGATGACATCCTATACAAGAGCTTCATTTCATGAAAAGGTGACACCCCAACCCCATTCCCATCCCTCCCTACCCAGTGTGTTTGTGCCATATTTTTAATTTATATAAATTATGAATGCTTATTGCTAGTTGACGTAATACATGTATCACAATACAAGAGACAGAACCACAAACTACAAGCCAAAACTTTTCATACCTACCTATCTGATGAACCACATTTAACAATAAGTAGCTGCACACATTCCTAACATGAGTACATGACACATTCACAGATATAATATACCAATTAAAGATCAATGAACTACCTGAACTAATGATAACCACACGAGACTTCTATCTATTCTAATTAGGTTGGAAATTGAAAGTAGCATTATGACACAATCACGGTCTCACATTGGTAAGCACAAGATTCCTTTCTAATACTATAACTCCATGCAGGGCAAGGAATGGAACTAAAACAATTGGTACAATTCATCTCACCAACAGCTAGAACTGGACGCCTCCTCGTCTTGAGGGCTTGTTTTCTGAGAAGAAGCCTCTCTTTATTGGTAAGCGGTCTAGCTTTAGCTGGTATTGCCTGAGAATTGCTCTCCGCTGCCTTTTGAAGTAACGGAGAAATTGTCACTTTGTTTACTGATTCGTGAGATGGCTCTAATATCTCATTCTTAACAATATGATGCTCAATATTGTTTTCTGACACTGATGTAATAGTAGGTCTAGACTCACTGCTGATTGAATGAAACATCACTTCATTGCATGAAGAATTGCGAGAATCACTAGCTGCAACATGAATCATCTCTGAAGAGTTTTCCTGATTTACCAATAAGATGAATAATCATTCAGCAAATATTGTATTACTACCAAAGACTAGTTCAAAGATTAACAATCAAACTCTACCTTAAGATCATCATCACAAAAAGAGACTTCTGCATTGGCCTGTTCCTTCCTCACAGAGTTTGAATTGGTTTTTGGATAAACTGAGCCAACTGAAAACTTGTCTGCACCATCATCGGTTTTATCATATAGTGAGGGGAATTTAACCAGCTTCTCCTCCCGAACAGGAGTATTATCCTCTTGAGATTCCTTTTTGTTTACTGAAATGATAGAATTTCTCTCACTCTTTTCCGGCTCCTTCAGTAAAGAAAGCATAATAGAACAGGATTAGAGACCACGAGTAATGAAGCATCCACTACGAGGCCAAAAACCATCTTTGGTGAATAAAATAAGGTTGAAAACCACCTATCCTAGTTATTACAGCGCCTAGGAAGCAAGAGTAAAAACTTCAGTAACTTAAAACTTGGCAAGGAAAATCAGGGGTAACAATAATTCAGATTTTAATGTACAGTCTATCATGTGAGGATTTATGGGGTATAGTCGTAGCTTGCTTCAAATGCAGACATCCATACTAATTATCCCCGTATTTGACAACCAGTAGATCAAGTCTTGCACATTCGTGCTCACAGCCTCACACAAGAGAGAAGGAGGGAGGGGCAAATGATGCAGAAGAAAGCATTAAATAGAACTATATATCTTCCAGTGATTTGAAAATGTTGTCAGCCAAGGGAGCAGCATACCGTAGTTAGCAAGCCATTACTTGGGAATTGGGATTGTAGAACAAAAACTGAAGTCCAGCAATATATTTATATAAATATAAGAAGTATGTAACATTTTAAAGCTATGGCTAGTAAATTAAGGTTTTTAAGTTTTGAAGAACAATTAGCCTTTTTATTAATAAAAATGCTGACATATTACCCCTTCTTTCACCCAGTCAGAACCTATCACATTCCTTATGTACTACATATATGATTCCCCTTTTTTTCTAAGAAAAGTTGCCTTTCCTACCCAAGCATATTTAAGTCTTGAGGAGATACAGGGAGTTGAACACTAGAACCAATATTGTCCTACTTGAATATTGAATAACATCATCACCAACAAAGTAAATGATATAAGACCTCACTCTTCATTATATAAAAACACCGTGAGACTGGCATTCATTACAACAAAAAAATGGAATTCAACAAATCAAGTCAACTCACCAGTTCAGTTTTCACCAGTTTACCTGCTTGGTAATCCAAAGCCTCCTTATCTTCAACCTGATGAGCACACAACTGAATTTTTATGATCATGCCATATGTATGCTGGTGTAAAACCTAGAAAAGTATGAGAAACTCACCAATTTGAGTTTCAATCTGTCAATGTCTTTAGCTAGCTTCAATACGTTGAGTTTCAAGGACTGCATTATGATTGCAAGTAATCAGTATAACATAATTTCGCATGAACATAGAAGCCATAGAACAGGTCCTCAACTACCAAAACATATATATTTAAACTGAATAGCATATAAACTCATGTTTATACATCAATCAAGGAACAATCACTCATAAACAAGAACCAAAACAAAGATTTCAAGTCACATGCCCAACTGAACCAAATCTAACCCCTGACTTCATTCAAGATAGGAAGAGAAATTCATTTTTACCTCACGACGTTGGGCTTCTATTGAACGTTTCAACGCTTCTTTCTTGTTCAGAAGTGTCTGAGGTCTCAAACTAGCTGGGCGTTGGTAGTTCTTACCACGGTATACAATGATTGCATGACCTTTTCTGGCTCTCTCAACAGCCACTAATACTCCACCACTTTCTGCCTCTAGTATACGTGCTATGTTGTTTATTTCTTCAATGTCGGTTCCTCCACATATTATCTTTACAAGTTCTCTGTACTTCCAGTGCAGATGCATGTTCTCAATGGTGCCATCAAAAACACCACGTCTACCTGAAAAAAGAATAACAGAAGAGAACCATAAAAACAACATCCACCTATCCAAGAGGTTAGGCCTTCCAATTTATATGACCTGTACTTTTGATTAACTGGTTTACTATCAATAACATTAATTCATAAGCCATTACTCACCCAGCAACAAAAAAGGCTTCATCCTCAAGCCAACTCTCCTGAGCATGTATCTCTCTTCCTCCGTGATTCCCTCTTTATCCACCTCTACTTGTTGAGAATTTTCAGCCTGCTCCAGATCAGAAAGAAGCTTCTCTGCCTTTGCTTTCTCTTCCAGAGCCTGTAACAACAAAATCCCAGAGCAACTAAGAAAGAGAACTTCAAGTGAAAACTTTCCATCTTTTTATATGCTTACCGTGGACAGCTTCCTGCTAGTTTTTGAAATGGTTGTTTGAATAGACAATTTTTTCCGCTCCTGAAGCTCAATTCTAATTTTTTGCTCCGTGCTTGTCTCACTTACAGAGGCAGCAGTATGCTCTTCAGTATCCAATTCAATGTTCTCAGTAGATTTTGTTAAAAAACCATTATCCACCTGTCCGTCTCCATGCATTCTATTTCTCCGCCTCTGTTCAATTGCTGAAGAAACTGCTGATGGAAGGAAATCTTTCCCCCGGTAGAACACTATGTACTCCTTATCCCGGGACAACAGGACACCACCAGTCAAGCGCTGCAAAATTGATTACCAAGATAAATTAAAACTCAAGGACGATAAGCTCAGCTATATAAATTAATACACAAGGTAAGTAAAAGGCAATTCCAAACAGTTGCCAGTTGCTTCCTAGGCACCCCATAGAATGGGATACAGCCATATATCCAAGATTTTAAAATTAGTCATGATCGCATCAGTTTTTTTTATAAATGCATCAGTTTATATCAAAAA